AACAATTACTGATATATTAAATAATTTATTGGAAAAGTGTTTGGAAATCTAATACTTATTATCAGTATGTTAAAGAGTATAGTTATCGAATTAAACTTCAGAATATACTATATTTTATCATGAACAGTGAGTAATTAGTCAAAGTATAACTTAACTAATGTTACAGTTGATGTCGTTCAGTTCAAATAAAATGTCAATAGTTAATTGCTGAAATAGTAATAGTTTGGTTGAAAACACATCTCACTTCTTTAATTAGAGTTATGGAGATTAGTGTTTGTTGCACATTGAAATTATCAATCAATCATTATTAGACCACCATTAGAAACCTTGAAGCACAGAAAGACGGCCGTTTCGTCCTGGTATGTGACTCATCATCAGTGCGCATCCACGACTCCTGCTACTCGCAGAATTCCAAGACATCGCCAGTGGCGTTCATCCCTGTCGGATGCAGACAGGGACAACCGAAGACAAATGAGTGAGGTCGCGCGAAATCTTATAATTGATCAGAGTTAGGCATTAACACCGTTGGATGATGGCCCACTTATTCAGAGGTTAGGCGTTCACGCGTAAGATCAAAGTTCCCGGGTTCGAATCCTGCGAGTAACAAGAGTCGTAAATGCGCGCACTGCTCATGAGTATTCGTGTGGTATTGTATTGAAGGAGAACACAGGTGAGGCAACCGAATTGTATTTAACGAAATTACAGAGTTACTCAGTAAAATCGGGACAACCATATCGTAAATCGTTAATTTGCAAAATAACAGTTCATCATATCGAACTGGACTGTTCCTGTTGCAAAACATCAATCTATTATCACTATTCATGCGTTTCATACAAATTCCATTGTGTTCTAACTCTTCCTTTCTTGATCTTCCCCCCCATCTTCTGCTGCCAGATATTACGTTGACATTCACGTCATATACTACTTATAAGTAGCTCACACCACAATAGTAATAATAACAATAATAATAATAATAACAATAATTAATACAAATAATATTTACATTGTTTATTTATCCAACTTGTACAATATTATCCTTTCTGATTGTGTATTGTTTGTTCATGAAACAATCAAACTATCAACAACAACAACAACAACAAAAAATGTGTGTGCACAAACATGTGATTGATTATAATTCTGGCCTAAATGTAAACTATTTTCTTCGTTTACCTTATTTAACATTGTTGAATGTTCACCCTTGATGATGATGTTGTTTTTTTTTCTTTCTATAAGAAATAGAAAACACTTTCTTATCTATCTCATCCATTGCACTTTGAAATCGATCAATATCATCTGACCGAGTTTTTAGTGTTATTTATTGCCCTAAATGTCAATTTTCATGTAACCAACCGAATTACATTAGAATACAATGTGAAAATATTTGAATAATTTTTTTCTTATCCGTTAGTATTTATTTATTAATTTATATTTTTTATTGAAATAAATAAGGTCAAATTTCTTCATGTGTACCTACCTATATGATACTTTTAGGAAAGAAAACTTCGAATTCATCATGTCAATGAAAATGAAAGGATCCTATGAAATGTGTGAAGCATTTACAACACAACAAAAAACAAATTAATGAAAGCGTTATACGGTAATTTTTTTATTAAAGAAGCATACTTTAAGGTACATACAGCACAATTAAACGATATGAAATGGGAGGAATAATATTAATAATAATTTACTTGTTGATTTCTTTCACTAAGAATATTTAACACATTTGCACCATTTTGTTATGGGTTATGATTTATTCATTGGAAAAATTGAAGATCATTCATTTTTATTCTGTGGTAATAATCAGAGTAAGAAATGACCTTGATTATAAATATTTTTTTGTATTGACATTTCAAGTGAATGCATGGTTTGCCGACACAGTTATTATATGAAAGTAATTTACATTGGTAACTCATATAATTAATGATTGTGGTTTGCACACTCACTTTATGTATATGCTAAGGATTCAACTCTCAGTTTCTCAATGTTCTTGATAAGAGATGTTGCTTGGCATGACCTTGAGGTTATCATCATGCATTTTAATCCGATCATAACCTATTCAGCTTTTTAATGGCTTGACTGAATGATTTGATATAGGAATGGTGATTCGTTACACAGAACTTCTATCTCAAAATTCAATGAAATGAGAAGACAGTAACAGTGTGGTGCGAGCTACTTATAAGTAGTATATGACGTGAGTGTCAACGTAATGTCTGGCAGCAGAAGATGGGGGAAGATCAAGAAAGGAAGAGTTAAAAAACAATGGAATTTGTATGAAACGCATCAATAGTGACAATGGATTGATGTTTTGCAACAGGAACAGTCCAGTTCCATATGATGAACTGATATTTTGCAAATTAACGATTTACGATATGGTTGTCCGATTTTACTAAGTAACTCTGTAATTTCGTTAAGTACAATTCGGTTGCCCCACCTGTGTTCTCCTTCACTACAACAGTACTAATTTTTATATCTCTGACTCAAAAATGCATACGACTGACTATATCATTAAATGAACAAACAACAAAGAACCGTAATTAAGGAAAGAGATATTTGATGTTCAGAATTGGAATATATAGCTAAATAAAATAATTTGTTCATAGAAATTGTTACAATCGCTTACATATAAAATGAATATGGAAATTATGACGATCACCTCGATCGAATGTTGGAAATTAAACATGATACTCCCGAGAAAATAGCTTTGTCATACTTCTCTATTCCAACTGTTACAACAAGCTGCGATCAGGTGAATAAGCATTGAAAACCGAAGTGCTATAAACAGTTGTCTCATTTTTAGATTAAACCTCTTCACCGCTACCCAACCACTACCCTAAACTGTATTAAAATTGGCAAAAACTTAAGGACCTATTAGAAGGGAAAAAATATGACGCCGAAACTGTATCACGCTTTCCGGCTGATGCTAACGAGTGACAATTATTTTTCAACAGGAATCCTCATCAAATCATTTAGTTCAACAAATACATGATATCAAGATAGATGATTTGACAGCTTTCATATTCAGCTTACGTTAACTTAATATTATCTGACTTATCATTTATCGTCGTACTAGTCTACGCTACAGAAAAGGCTATAAATTGTTAAATCAACTAACTCTAACTATTGTAAACAAATTACTGGGTGAGTGGACACTTGTTGTATGATATAAAATGGGATAACTAGTTTTTTTGAATTGTTTTATCATATAAAAATAGAAGCCAGGCTCATTCACCTAGAATTTTTGCCAATGATGTTTTCAAGTCAGAATTCGGAGACATCATCGTACCTAACGTCAGATAACAATTTGAACTGCATATTTTTGCATGTAAATTAGACTATTTTAGGCATTTGTTTGACATTCCGTTTAGCGATAAATTGATCACTATGACAATACAGTATATTAAGGAATAATCACTTCTCAAATATCCACACAACGTTTGATCTTTCCTCAATGTACAACCAGTGAGCGACCGTGAAGGTCTCTCAACCCAGCATGGGGCGGAGGCGGATGAGTGGAGACCTTCGGGTCACCAGGATTGCTGGCGCGAGGCCAA